GCGTTTTTGGAACTTGTGCCGTCGTGGTCCCAGTTGGTCACTGGCAGTGTCGGGTTTGTGGTACCCAAAAGCAATCAAGTTACTGTACGTAGCATTTCATCCTTGAATTAGACTGTAACTAGAAAGAGTTCTCTTACTCGTGCTGCAGATTTGATAATTCATATGAAAATTGTGTTAATTGCAAAGTTTTGCAGAACTGTCCAATTCTGGAGTGAAAAATTATACCAAACAGTGCTACATGACTCATAATTTCAATAGTTGCTTTTCGCAGATATTCGGTGACCAGGATGCCACTATAAGCACAAAATTAGACGAGTATGACCCGATCTCGAACTGGGCGCCGATTCCATATACCGCCGGCGCCGCTTATTATGCCACAGCTACGCTAGAGGCAGATTTTCACACAGTGAGCTCTTCCGGTCGTTATATTGTAGTCATCAGTGGCAGCAACAATGGCTCCGCTTACAGCTTCGTTCCCGCATATAATTGTAAGTAGTCAAATGTTCATTAAACTCTTTTAATTGCAGTATTTGTGGAGTGGAATTTTGATAGGGCTCTGTAAATGAACTGTGGGAAGGTACCTTGGAATAATTTAGTTGATATGCGGTATATCCACCCTGCTCAATGTTAACATGGAGCGCATAAGATTTACAGGTAGTACGTTTAGTAGGTAGGCACTTTGGGAAGCAGTCTGTGTTTGATTCTTTAATGGTGAATACAAACAGAGCCCTTCGTGCGGAAATCATTAAACTATTCTTCTCGCGCCTCATCAAGTACAGGATCCGCGAATGACTAAGCAGGAGACTAGAGACAGAGAGAAAATTTTTGGTTCTGACGAAGGTGTGAAGAAGGAAAAAGGCGAAAGGGTCAACAGAATATGAGAAGAAAAGAGCAAAAATCTTAACTCACATGTAATACGTAACAGTATATTAACACGATTCTGCAATGTTTCAAGGTGTTCGTGCAGCAAGTTTGAATTTTGATACCAAATCTGATTTTTGGACAAAAATTTTGGAAGGAGCAATTAGCAAAAATGATGTAATGAGTAAATAGCGAACAATGGGCTTACAGATTTGAAGCACTTAATAAATGTGGGTCTGCCGATCTCTCTCATGCAACAGACTGGCCTGAAAATCATAAAAAAATCAAAATTTGGTAAAAAATTAGAACGGCCGTATTTTAACACTGCCCTTTCGTATCTCTTCTCTGTCGTCGTTCTTCACAAGTCATTTTTCGCTCTGTGTAAAATATAATTGTTAAGAAATGGAAAATATGGATCTGATTCTCTGTAATGATTACTCTCTTTTCAGTGCAACAACTGGAAACTTCAATTATACCAGCCCCGAGTACGTTTCATTTTTCACATTGCTTTCGCCAAGTCCTAGTCTTTTTCGAATTTTCATTCATTAAACGCTGATGTACGTGACAACATGGTAAATGCACGCTCGCGCTGAAGATTGTGGATTCTGGCCTGCCAATGAGATAATCAGTCTTGCTGAAGCGCATCGCATTCATGCCCTTGACAAGACTGACCCCAAAAGTATGGAAAACAAGATCATATCCAGGCTGCTGCGGTAAATCTGGCCCACATTTGATTGTTACATCACTTAACTTGTCTTCGATCTGATTATAAATTGTACTCCCAATTGCACCGACGATAGTGATGTTGTGTTTTCTTCACTGTTGTAATTGTTAATGATCCGACGCATTTGGCATTTAGTTTTTCAGAAGTACGTTTTTTAAGCTCAGCTTCGCATTGCAAGTTTTATTAATTGCAGTGGATATGAAGTTTTATTTTGGATGTCATTGAAACGGCTAGTACTACGAATACTACTTTTTCATAACGGCCATTTTAACCACAAAGTCAGTAGTTTATTTAAAAAAAAAAGTTCTTAGCTACTAAATTAAAAGGAACAATTGGAGAAACAAAAAAAAAACACTTTCATTGTTTTCACTTCGGTAATGCAGCTTCGTTCAGCAGCCGAAATAAATGCCAGCTCCATTGGAAAGGAATTTGTGCTCATTTTCCCGCACAACAGCGATGGAAATTCGTCTAGGCTGCCAGAAATAAGTGTGGATTTGATCAATCCGAACTCCATAAACGTTACCGTCCAAATCCTCGAAAGAAGAAGCTCTACTCCAATAGCGCAAAATGTGAAAGTCCCGCCTCACTCTGTTGTGAAGGTTAGCATTTGCAACGAACTTTGTAACTGCCGATTGTTGCTCCCTTGCACAGCCTCTAGCTGAGGATAGCGAATAATCTAAATTTCGGTAGATAAACGTAACTATCAGCTTCTTTCGGTTTAATATCATCCTTTTGCTGTGTGACTTTCGGCAAATCAAAACTTTCACTGCCCTTACTTTCTAGCTCAGCTTCCGAAATGTTGTTTTGAAAATGGCTAAAATTTGTAAAGTATTTGATTTTTCGACTTCATGCTTTTTTAAATCAGGATAACGGAACGTATTACATCAGTTAAGCAACCTGTATTCGCTTTCTTAACAGTTTTCAAACATTTCCTAACAATCCTTTTGACTGTAAAAACTCGTAACGTAGCACTTATCTCTGTGTATCAAAAGCTTTTTGGTAGTTGACAATGAGCGGATAATAAGTGTTTGATAGTATCGCGCTCGTCTCACTAAATGTGTCGTAAAAAATGTGACCTGCTGAACTATAGTCAGTTACAAATTCAGTTGGCTCTTTTTGCATCGGGAAGTCTGCTAGGTTGAAAACAGCTTGCGTAAGTAATTTATAAATCTGAGAACGTTAATGATAATTTTTGGACCTTTATGTCACTTTTCGTGCACTACAAAATCCTCCTCAAATTTGTGCAACCGCTGGATATCAGTGATAAAAAAAGGCCAATACTTTATTAAGAATTTTACTAGTATCTTCATCTGCGTCATCCCATAATCACTCAATCTCTGTTTCAGTACCAATTTGACGCATCGACCTATACGAAGCTCTGCGCCGGCAAAGATTCATTTGTGCGTTGTCCAGATACATCTATAGCGATTCAAAGCAGCGATCCTATATCAGTGGTGGCACATAATTATCTCAGTGGAGTTGCCGGCGATAGCTACACTGGTTTGTGATATATTATTTAATTACAAGTAGACTCAATCACTGACCATAAC